ATATTTTTATTACCACTATTGATATCATTACAGTATTATCACCATCCGTCATCATCATCCTTATCCTATTCGTCATCGTCATCATCATTTTCATTGTTGTCTAATCATTATAATCATCCTTACTATCATCGATCGTTGTAATCATCACCATAATCATCATCATCACATCATACTCATCCATCGTCATCGTCCTCATCTTCATCATGTCCTTATCAATCATCTATCGTCGTTATCATCATCCTCATAATCTTCATCCTCATCATTCTTCATCATTTTCTTCATCATCATATCCATCCTCATCCATCATCCTCATCATCATCAATGGCATAGCCAGCTATTGGCACAGTTGGGACAGTCCCACACCATTTTTCCAATGGGTCCACAAAAAATGGGCCACATTTTAAAAAGGGGTCCAAATTATGTAATTTTATGCATACAATGGATCCAGATAACTTATATTTAGTTAAATATGGGTAAAATTTAAGAAAATGGACCCCTCTGATATTGTCCCACACCGTTTAAAAATCCTGGCCATGGCATTGATCCTCATCCATCATCGTCACCCTCATCACCATCCTCACCAATCATTGTTAACATCATCACCATCACCTTCATCCTACTAACCATCCTCATCCATCATCATCCTTATTCTCATCATCATCAACCTCATCCTTATCCTACTTATCATCATCACTCATTCATCATCATAGTCCTCGTTATCATCATCATTGTCATTGTCATTATCATCCTCATCAATCATCCTCATTACAATCATCATCTATCATCATCATCATCCATCATCATCTTTGTCCTCATCATCAACCACATCATCATCATCATCATATTATCAATCATAATACTCATAATGAGGATGATAATGAAGAGGATGAGGACGACAAGAATGAAGATGAGGATGAGGGGCAGACGGGATGTTTCTTATCATTCGTCATCATTAACCTCAACAACATCATTCTCATCAATCATCCTCATCATTATCACGATCACCCTCATCAACGACCATTATCATCAATCATAATCATCATCAACCTTATTTTCATCATTATCAAACTCATCATCCTAATCCTTCTCCTTATTGTCATCATTATCCTCACCATTCTTATCAGCATCATTTTCTTCCTCATCATCTTCCGTCATCAATCATCATCTACCTCATCATCTTCCTTCTCCTCATCAGCCACATCATCCTCATCCTCCTCATCATCATTCTTAATATCTTAATCACCATAATCATAATCATCATTACCATCATCCTCATTATCATCATCATCATCGTCATCATTACCAACATCATTTTCATCATTATCCTCTTCATCATCAGTCACTACCATCATCATGAGGATGATGAAGATGAGGACGACGAGAATGAAGATAATGACAAGGGTGAGGATGAGAGGGATGATTCTCATCATTCATCATCATCATCATCATTCTCATCAATCATTTCCTATCATTCTCATCACCATCATCACAATCATTATAATCAACAACCATTATCATCAATCGTAATCACCATCATCTTTTTCCTCACCATCATCCTCATCATCTTTCTTCTCCTCATCATCATCAACATCCTCCTTATAATGGGGAATATAATGAGGATGGGGATGACAATAAGGAAGATGATGATGATAATAATAATAATGACATCAGTATATTAAGAATAACAGTATAATGCTAATATTAATGTGAATTATAAACTATAAATTTTTTAAAACGCATAAGAATAATGATATGAGTAACAACATAATAGTATACTATACTAATGATGATGAAGAAAAATGTAGTGTAGAAAGATTAAATTTAAATAGCTAAACATTTCCTTTAATTTTGATTGTCTTAGTCTTGGAATTCGGTGTGTTGACGCCATCATTCCAAATTTGCTTGGGAGGTGGGGAATTCCCGTCTGACAGGCCTAGACTCCCATCGTCCGATGCCTCGACAAGGTTGCCACACCACAAATAATGATTTGCTTATCCATATAACATTATTTTGATTGCCAATCCCTAATATTTTGGCTTAAAAGCAAAATTTTGGGCCATACAAAGCTAAAAAGAAACTCTCCCATAAGCCCAGGGAAGTTTATTCCGGGACTCTGACCGAGGGTCTAGTCGGCCCTGTGTTTGGACCCACCATATCAGACCTCCTGGGGCCACCACCGAACGACTATAATGGGTAAGTATTTAACTAAGGTCCTGTCAGTTTTCACAGTTATAGAAAAAAACTAAAAGTGACTAAAAAATTGGTATGTTAAAGCAAAATTTCACTATTCCGTTTTTTCGTTGGGTTAACTTTG